GCACTGAGGCCAATGGCTCGTGTTGCATGTACCAAAATATTTCCGAATATTCGTAATGCAGTACTCATAAGGTTGCTGAAAATTCTTCGACAGCCCGTGACCGGTTTCTCCTTTCTTGGGAATCATCAGATAGGCGCAGTCCCCGAGTTTCCGCCAAACCTATGTTTTACTTCACAACAAAAAGTTGCACGAAATCAGCGAAATGCACTTAGTTGCAAACTAGTATGGTTTTGCGATAGACTCACCTGGAACCCAGCTGAAACTCTCGTTTGTGATGTTTCCAAGCAACATGGTGTTTCCAGGAAACATCAGAAACCAGAGATCCAGCTGGGTTCCAGGTGATTTTCTCGCAAAGCCAAATTAGTTTGCAAATGAATATGTTTCGCTAATTCCGAAAGTTGTTGTGTGATCAAGGCGGGTTGTTACTTGGCCGAACCAACACCTTTTCTTTATAACTCTTTATCGTCCTACAAACTCTCGGCTTCCATTTTTGAAGTACAAATATCTTTTTATTTGATATTTTAGGCACGCCACTCTTAATAGTACCATGGCTGCTAGGTAAACATCTGTTGGTCCTTTGCCTCTCGCCCTTTTATGTACTAACCCAGAGTATTTCCTGCCTAGTGGAGAAACAGATTTCGGTACTCCTGAACCGTTGCAACCACGTGGCTGTAAAGAAGGTTGATACCGTATGTTCTTTGAATTCTGCAGCATGAGAATTCATCGGTGAGCAAGGTCTCCGAACTATGACAACAAACTCAGCTACCACTATTGAGAAAAGATGTGTAATAACTTCATTCTGTTCACTTTGGTCTTCATAGGACAGCTTTACCGTTGCACTATGCGTGCGCGGACGTGGTTAGCGTGGTCAACTGCCCTGGTGCACGCAATACAATACAGTAGGACACTTATTGTGATTCCTCTGTTACACGGCAATACAAATAATATATAATTCTCCTGGGAATCTAATTTTCCTTAATTTCAATTATAAGCTGGAAAATACACGGGAACCGCTATTCTAGGGAACCTAAGCGGCCACGATCCACCTATGAGCACTATGACTCACGAAGAAAGACCAGCTCACCGCTAAAAGAATTTCGCTTCCTTTTCTGTTTAAGCTCACACAGAAAAGTTTGTCAATAAATCTTTCCACTTTAGAACATACGATAGTTGTTTCTAACCAAATCATTATGTTTCCATTCCTCTTGTTGGGTGCCACGTGGCGTCGCAGTAAATTGTGACAACCGAGGAAAAGATTGTCGGATCCAATAATATTCACCTGATAATTCCGAATCATGGTGAAGGTTGGAGTCACTTTATACGTTAGGACCAACCATATTTGACTTCTATCAGTGGTGTCTTCTTCAAAGCTCACAATTGCAGGAATTTGCACGCCTTCTAACCAGGGATAAATGAAGTAAAACTTCACGTCTCTCAATTGAACAAACCGTTCGACAAAACTGCAAGTGCTAATTGAAGTAATCATTTTCCACGACGGCTTTAACACGTACCTTTCCAAAAATCGAAATAGTGCTGTTTTTGAAAAAAAATTTTCGTGGGGCCAGTGAAAGAAACTGTTTCATAGATAGTGGAATGGCATGCAATAGATACTGTACTGAAAGAAAAGCATACCAAGCGTGATTACTGTCCAGTGAGTTGCGTGTAAGGAGCGCAACTGCAGGCGTCACTTATTTGTAAAGCATTCCGTAAAATGCTAACATCAACATCCAGCAGAACCGGTGGATAAGTTTTAGTGAGACATGCAAGATGGAACCACATTGCACTTGTCTTGCGTAATTCACTAAGAAGTGCAAAATGAGTTTTCAGATTTTTGTTACGAGTGTTTCGTTGCAACCAAAAGCTTGTAGGGGTGTAATAAAAATCCAAATTGCTTAATTTTTATTCTTTTAGTGGTTTGTCCTTGCTAGACACACAGCGCAACATGATTAGGTTCGGTATTATTCAAAGCAATTTTTCTGAATAGCCATGTCTGTTAGCATACGGACATTTGGCTACTTCGTGAAAGACAACAAAGGCTTTGAGGATGACAATGCTGTTTTTTTCAGCAAACGGCTTGTCTAGTAATTTTGCGTCTGATGAACAGCACTGATGTAGACAGTTTACATTTGGTATTGTTTTACTCGTGGTTGCTATGCTAACCGACTGAGTGATTTCAAAGTTGGATAGGAGCGCGGAAGCAGATGGCCAAAATTACCCACAGGGATGCCATGGTAGCGCTCGAGTAAGCCGAAATGAAGACAAGTCAGCAGTTCCGGTAGGGTTTTTATTGCAGTAGATCAGTGCAGTGTTTAAATAGGAGTGCCGTTTTCCCCTCAAAATGAACGAACTAGTAATAGCGTCCCAAAATTTAAATCGTTGATGTCGGCTTTCAACACACTGCCTTTTACTGAACATCTTGTAAAGGATTCAATTGATCTCAGAAAATAAATGTGCTCAATCTTCGTTATCCTGCTGCATTCACTTTCCGTTTAATCACCATTTTGTCGTTCAAATTTTACTACAAGTTTACATGTCCGACCTGATCGAATTAAACACTGATCCATGAGGCACATTTGGACACCACATGAAATGCACACGCCTATTTTAAAAGTGAATGTTTGTGACGAACTCTTAAGAATTAGTTGGTGCAGAATTATGTAGTGCTCAGTAAGGATGCCAAAAGCTTGAGCTCCTTAAAGAGACGTTCATGTCAATTCCATAGAACGGTTGAATTGTCCCTACTATTCGAACCTTGTGTTCAGATTCTTGAAAATCAAGCTTGCGTTCCTGATTCCAAAAAGAGTGTACAAAAATTTCAGCTTACCTAACAGGGCAAAGTTGAGCTTCGACAAATGCAGGCAAGTTCATAGTTCATTGACCAGGCCTATAAACAGTAAGCACACGTACAAGGACAGTGATTTCCTGCCGAAGGAGTTTTGCCCAGACAAGTTACCATGAATATCGGACGACGGTTATCCTGTCCCCAACCTCGCGCGAAGGTAGACTGTGAAGCCAAAAACTTGTTTGTGTTCCTACACTCATGACTGTAGGATATAATATCGTAAAATATTTGGCTTTTATGTGAGCAGTGTGAGATCTGTTCCTAAGAGTCTAAATACAAGTTTTCTATTTTACAAAATATGGCATTTTGACAATGTGCTTGTTATGCACCATCGCCTGCACACTTAAAATTAGTCACTTGTATTATGAACTAACGAGTTCAGGAGTGCCTACCTTGAAGAATTTCACACTGTCGCCGATCAATAAACAATCCAATAAGCATTTCCCCGTGTACGGAACACACCAGTTGAAACACTTGGATTTAATCATCTATCCGTCATACAGCACAAGGTAACCGATATCGGTTATGCACATGAATTATATTGCAGTTTAGCTGAGATCTCGGTTTCATTCATGAGTCGAAATTCTCACTTGGCTGGCAGTAACCTGCTTGGATGATCGTTTATATCAGGAAGTCTAGTATTGTTAAAGTAACCTCGTTAGTACTAATCAGGGCTAATCACACGTTGGGGCTCTTGTGGAGGACCGACCAATTCAAGCTCATGAATACCCGGATCAACTAAAATAGTAGACCTTCATGAGGCGCATAAATCAACGCTTGTCGGATTCTTAGCAAAAATGAGCCAAGCAAAATAAACAAACCTTTCTTCTGGAGACTTCCCGTGAGCTGAAATCTAACACACTTAGGGACAGCATGAACAAGGTCACAAGTCAGACGGTCGACAGAGTAAGATCACTGACTCTCCCTTTGAAACTAGAGTTTGTATCCCACGTGAGCACCTGCAACCAGTAAACGGTCCCTGTCTTGATGGTCTATGTAATCGATGTTTCAGAAGAAGGTTTAGCTTAATGTGGAGATTCGGTTACCGGTCGTATCTGAAAGGACTCATTTATACACCCGAATGTTAAACTTCGTTAATTCTTTGCTCAGTTAGTAGTATTACTTAGTCATTATCCGAAGAGTTATAAAAACCTGACTGGCACATTTTTCAGAAGTGAGCACTTTGTCAGTGCAACGTAAGGAATTCATTTTTGAGTACGTCGTCAGTACACGTCGGCTTAAATACGTTTTACACAAACACTTTTGTGGTAACTTTACCGCCAGCTAAATTAACGTTTGCTTAGACAGCGCGTGTGATTACCAAATAAGGTTTCTAAGGTATTTAGGACTAAAAAATATTCTTCCTGGTAGGAACATTCCTAGCATGCATTTGGACGTTTAATGGGCGATCTCAGTATGCCCCCTCAAATGATATTTGTGGAAAGAACGACACCTATTACAGAGAGGCTAATGTAGGACTTGTCACCTCTATCTTAAGATTTATCTCAACTTAATTTATACTTCAAAATCTGCCGAACTATTTTATTTGAGTTTCCAAAAATAAGCTAAAAGGGTCTGGATCCAGATTCACCTATTTCCTTCAAACATTTCTAAAAAATCCACCCTTAGGGATAAGCATCTTAGTTTGGATTCCACGAGAGACTTGGTAGGCGATTTGTGTAGAACTGGAATTTTCACTCTGCATTGTTTGTACTTCTCAGCTTGCTCCGTTTTGCTCGTACTGGCCAAATACAATCCAGTTCGATGTGGTTCTTAATATATTTGTCAAGAAGTCCGACCGAAGTCAGGGTCTAACCAAGCGATGGTAATTTTCCAACCATATGCAAGAAAATAACAATCTTTATCAGGAATAAGAGGCTTTCCATGCAGGCAGCTGGGGTGCAGTTTACAGTTATAACACAAGGCGTATTGCTGTTGCTGTATCAGTCAATTTGAAAGGGTGCTTTATTCTGGGAATTCACCAGAGATATGGCAGAGTTACACATTCGTTTAACTTGCTTTTCCAATGAGGTATGGACATTATCAGATATGTTGTCCCACAATTCCAGTTGTTTTATTAGAAGTTGGATTTGTTTTACATTGGATGAGTCCCAGGCTGCTCAAGATACATGAATGTGCATGATTTCTTTTCATTAAGACCCGGCGGTACCCCTTCAGAACGAACAAGCTCCCACTCACATCACTTTACATCCGCCAGTCAGGGGAAGAAAGAATTTATATACCAAACCTTACAACAGGCACACTGAGTAACTACGTAAAAGAAGCTTTTGGAATACCAAAACCGCCACCCAACCAGACAGCACACAGCTCTTTTCTCTGGGACTTGTCGTTGTTGTTGCCTACCATTGGTGGTTCGGTTATTAGTCAGCAAATCACCGGTGTGCTCTATGGAAGATTCAAGCATTACTTTGCTATGGGCCCATCATACGAATTGAATCTGGACTTAGAGTAAGTCACGATGGGAGAGAAGTTTTTTGTATCGCAAAATGTGTTTTTGCTGATTGAAATTCTGGGACATTCGCGCGCAAAGTGCCGTAAATCACAAGTAATATTTTCAGTCACATCTCTACGGGCCGGATTTCTGGTAACAGTTTGCAGACTAATACTGAGAGCAATTTGCTTAATTAATCTATTTGCCTTGAGTTGCAGCTTGTCTTGGGGCTTTCGTTCTAGTCAGCATGCCCATTGTAATTACATCTACACGGTCTAAAGATATCGTTAGACATAGTTGTTCCTTGTTCTCCTCTCCCAATATCAGTACATGTTTCACGTATACAAGACGAGACACATCCCTCATAGTGCGTGCAGTTGTGTCTGTGTCCAAAATGCTTTGAGTATATATAGCATGAAAGAACTGTTGAGACAATTCCAATTTACGTCGGCAAATTTCTTATTAAACCTAGACTCACATCATCCAGAAGCATTTCAGTAGTTCTCACGTCTAGTAATTTTGTGAAGTTGGGTAAATTCATAGCTGATTACCATTTGGTATCCTGTGGTTCGATTTATTTTATCGTGCAGACTGAATTTGATTTGGTGATCCGTTAACCGTCCCGGCCATCAACGATTATTAATGTGTCTGCTAGACATTCAATTCCGTTATTGTCAACATAGATCACAATGCGATTACTCTTCAGATTCGGACGTTCAAATCCTCTTCTTATTGTTACACTGCTGCAATTGCGGTTAAGTTCAACTTGGCCGTTTTTTTAATAGAAAGTGGTCGCAGGTAAAGGTTAAGAAACGTGTTGTAGTAAGGACTGTCAGAGTTAAACCAAATATCATCACCGCTTTATATCAGTTTCTTTTTCTCAGTGCATTTGTACAATTTCGATACCAGTTCGGGAGGAACTACACTGCCCCGTGTCTTGCATACCCATTCGAATAGCTAGGAAACTCTGTATTACCGAGTAACTTGTGTTTTCCTCAATGATTTTCTCCGTTCACACTTCTCCGTTAGGGTGAGCAAGTGTTTTCGAATCAGATTGGCCAGGGTGGACTACGGTTACCAAGTTGTCTGACACAGCTTCATTAGCAACGTAAGTAGGCTGTGGGCAAAAATCCTCAGACCAACCCCGCCTCCCACTGTTTCGTATTAACAGTGGTGTTCAGAGACGTAACAACTGCGCCTCACTGCCTAAATTTACAAACGATAACGTCTTCAGTAGCCGAACGGTGGTAAGTTGCAACAGTGTCTGGTGTTTTAGCAAAAACGGATATTTTTCCCTTCAGGTCATTTTTTTAACGCAAACTGCAGCTTGACCAAGGACTTGGGTAACCTCAGTGCAACTATGACTGATATTTCCAGTGCCAAGAGGTCTTCAACATATCCGGTCGAAGTATTCGGGAGAGCACCGCAAACAGAGAAGAGATCAACCTCCACGTCATCATCAATTTAATGGACACAGACCACCAATATTTTGACACTGTCATGATATGACAATTGCTCTGAACTCCAGTTTCACCCACGGGTTCACCCATGGTGTAATCCGTGGAATTAGTAAAATTTCCAAACGCCATGAAGGCTCATTTTGCTTCATGCCACTTTACTGAAAGTAAATTTCGACCCATTGGAGGGCTGGTTGAGTTCCAGGTGAGATTTTCGGCACTAGCCCATTACGCCAAAGATATGTTCGGTCTACAATAACGTCTAATGTATTGTGCAAGTCTGAAAGATTACCGGGGAAAAGTCAACGATCAGTCCTGCTCGAATAATTTATAAGAAAATATCCTTATTGGGCTTTTAAGGGATGTCCTTGATCATATAAATAATGTCCTAACAAGAAAATCAAACAACGTTCAAAATAGAACATGAAGCTGCCTCCTTTCACCACCTTTGGGTGAAGAATACCAAAACTGAGCGACTCAGTTGAATTCTCCGCCGTCTCCAAACTACTCTTGCTGAAAGGGGCTCCCATAGAATTTGCCGCATCACACTATTTCTGAACTACCCATATGAAATATCCGTTACTTGAGTAACCACATGTTATCCAAGTGAATTTTCTCGATGGAATCTTCCTTGCGAATGTTACGGTAATGACTTCCTTTACATGACTCTGGGTATTATTTGGAAAACGACATTGGTGAATACTTGTGTCCACGTCATTCATTAACAGCAAATGAAACAGTTGTAACCAATGTAGAGTCGACGAGTATAGTGTTTCCTTGTGCACCACCCAGTGTTCTGAATCCTCAACCCCCATTACAAATAAAGTGTACATTCTCACAGATCACTAGGTAATTATTCGCCAACCCAAGTTCGGCCGCTTTGATGGATTGCGGAAATAGTACACTGGTTACGATTATGGTATTAGTTATCTAAGCTACACTGGACCAGAAAATCTGAGGTACGGAGCTATTTTTAGCGGGGACTTCCTAAACCTTGTTGGACTCATTTTGATTTTGGGATATTTACTATCTCCAGCTGGGATACCAGTATGCCAGGGATAGCTCGCCCCCACTGTTGCTATCACTCCCAACAGACTATCCGAAAGTTCACCTGTTTACGGTTTGACAGATCTGTTTCACAGAAAAAGCAAGAGTATTCTAATTGTTGTGCGTACATTGCTGGTAACACCATTCTTGCGCGAGGCTTTGCCCAAGTTTTTGAATTTTACAATGGATTGCTCCGGTTCGTGATGTTCTAACTTGTCATGTCAGATGTTACTTGACGAGCATAACAAACTGTTCCTGAGCAATACGTGTTACTGACGTATGGAGTCGGCTGAGACAACTGTACTTCTACAGAGAATGTAGCAATCAAACCGTATTTTTAATCTCTTTTGTCTGGTTTGTTAAATGTATATAAGTTCTGATTTGCACACCGTTTGAGATATTATCCTACGGAAGTTGAGCCCGCCATCAACCCAATTAATGCCACTTCAGGAGCTTCTACAGAAGCTATGAAATCGTCCAAAGTGTTCTTGGTGGACACACAGCACGATGATCCAAGTCGCCAATTAGGCGCCGATTCACGTTACGTATTGTGATCTTTTCCGTTTTTTACCCGTGACCAGACAAGCATAGTACACTGCAATGATGGACATGAAACAATAGCCCCGACACTTAGGTACCATGCTACTTTCAAGTCTTCCAGACTCTTAGTGTTTAAGGTGAAGTTTAAAATCACCAGCAACCGGCAAGTTGAAAATGGATTTTTGGCCGTGAAAACAGTGGTAGAAGACTGTAGTCAGAGCCAGCATCATGGCTAACGATGCAAATTTAGAGGGCGCTTTGGTCCATTGTCTTCAGCAGACAAACCACCGATCACAGTTCCCGGGATACGGAATCACCTACAATAGGTATGAATTCTGAGGAAAGTGATACGTACTGTAAAATAATTATTCTGTGGGCTTGTATGATGAAGGATATCCGTCGGAATGGAAGACTTTACATGTATTTCTAACCGGATGGAACATCAGAATGTTCTCGAAAAATGAGATTCCGTTATTTCTATTGTTATATTTTCCATTATTATCTATTATTTATTTTAATTTTATTTATTTTAGTATTATTATTTTCTATCATTTTATTATTATTTTATCATTTTCTACTTTTAACTTATAGACATGCATTTCGAATCGTACAGGATTTGCGACTAAACGGACAAGCAAAAGTACTCGGAACAAGACACGAAATTTCTGTTGCTGTGTCAGCTAACACTGATGCCTCCGCCAGGTTCAAGATTTCCAATGACTGGGATGTCCAACTTCTTTTGAAACCATGGGTGAAACCTGTACAACTGTTTAAGCTGGAGTGAGTGAGTAGTAGTTTCCCGCATTATGGCACGGTGGTGTAACCAATCCACGTACCAAAAGTTGTTCCTTTATTGCCTGTAGCCACAACCATTTAAGTTATTCTCTACTAGATTTCTGAACCATAAACTTAACGCCACCTTACATTATTCCAGTTTGGTTTGACTGCCGGGGTAACTGATGTAATATGAAATAAAAATATGCTCTTTGAGTGGGCATAAACAAGATGGTGATCACAAGCACACCCACAGGTTGTGGAGATGCTTGGAACATCTTTGAAAAGTGATATTGTCATGAAGCCGCGGGAATAACACAGCTGGAAGCTGCATTTAGACCCAAGACATAACAGTTGTTGGCATTTTGTATAAGTGTCAGGTATTGGTACATCGCAAGAGCGTGACGGAAACTGCTGGCTTTACTGAATACGCTGCTGCCGTTGTGCTCTCAGTGTAAATAGGAGTAGTACAACCCCTCCTAATTTGTATTACGACGACGTCTGATACGGCAGCCGCCGCTGGTTTTCCTGATAGTTACTTCTGGCGGTTGCACTTTTCGGAACGAAGTTCAAAATAGTTCGCTCACTGGGGATTTTCCAACATTTCAGCATCTATCAATCCCGTTAGATGATTCGAACTACTTGCTTTGATCATTCTTTAGTAGACCAACACAAGACTTCTGCTGCATCCATATAAAATGGGGACGACAGAATTTCAGGCATCAGCGCACTTTCAGCTGACATGGGGCATTCTCAGGCCAACTGACCAGTTTATGTTTGTTCCAGCTTAGTTTTTATCCTGCAAGAGAGGCCGGTCAAAGCTGTGAATCTATTAAATACTTCAGCTGTTTCACCATTATTAGTAATCAACAACACCAAGTATATAAAGAGTACTCTGAAAATTTCACACCTGCAACTTCATGTTAGTGGTTTGAACAATCAGCCGTTCGGCTACCGGCCATACGAAGTGGATGAAATCTTAACGGAATTTTTCTGAGAATCCCACCAAGGAGCGCCTCCCGTTGATCTCTCTGTCTCCACTTGATGTGTGTCAATATGAGCCAGAGGTCTGTTATGAATGGTCGGTTTTTTGGTTTGATTAATAGCCAGTAGGATAAACGCCATTCCTTTGAACTCACCGTGACGTGACTTTTGATTCTTCCGGTTACAAGGGAAGCAGAGTGTATTGTGTGAAAGTGGTGGGACAAATTACAAGTGTCCAGTACAAGGCCCTTCTATTCGCACTACTGAGATTTGGTTCAAAAATTTCACTTGTAATAACCTATAATTAATCCTCACAAATTCACCTAAACTGATAGCAGTAAATGCTAATCGGTTCAGTCTTGCCACTAAATTTAAAAAATTGCTCTTCGGCAATATACTGATATATATACGCATTATTTGGCATATTATTAATATCATGTATAAATACATTGTATACCAATCATCCTTCGCCGTAGACTTCGGTTGAAATCCAAACCCAACACACCAAAGTTTAGAAAATTATTAGATCACTGTGTCCCAAAAAGCACTCGTGTTTGCCCTGATGTCACAAATAAGTTTCCGGATAACGTAATTTGCTGATTTATGGCAGCGTTGTTGAAATCAGTGAAATGCAGCCAAGACCAGCTGAAATTTATGCTACTTTAAAACTGGGATTAAAAGATAGACGGAAACTTCCAATTATATGATAGACTGTATTTGTTTGTTATGTATGCACTATGGAACGTCGTGAAAGCAGCCATCGTTGGGATATTGAAGAACCGTGTGTAGTGGCATAGATACTCAAATTGAACGCTAGCTCTCCATAGAGAAAATCTGGTGCTTTGACGCATAGCTTAACAGACGGACCGAGTCCTTCCCCAGGCAGATACCCAAGCGGCCAGCGACTGTAATGATTTTACTAAGCAACCATGACGGTAATCGCTCGTGCTGCCCAAATTAAGAAATCGATTTTTACTAGTTATCGAATGGATCGCAATAACAAAGACAATTTGACACCAGCGTGGACAATTCATCCGCCTACAAGTATAATGGTATATTTCTTTCAGAACTATCTAAGTGGGCATTTGTGTAGTAATGCGCAGCAATAAACTTTCAAAATTTCATGTGATTCTGTTGCCTAAGAATTTTTATACGTCTTACTATAAATGTCACCAACGTCCGTCTGGTAGATGTCCCGAAACAGCTTCTTCAGAATCCATGCGGTGCTAGTTCAATGCTACTCAGTCCTAATTCTGTTCTAGAACAATGTCCAGAATGCAGAATTATTGTAGGTCTCCAGGGACTGCCATTTACAAACATGGTGACAAAAGAAGTCGACGGCCAAATTTTTTTGCATAAGTATTAAGGAAACCTGCTGAAGACATGGTGCAGTTCAAGACTTGATTACCAGGTTCCTCGGAGGTGTTTACATTCTTCGAAGAAAACTATTACCGACAAACGTTAATTGTGATTTAGAAAAGTACCGGGTGCAATGATGGTTTAGGGACATTAGGGATCGATTACTCCTTATATTTTGTAATGAAGTGCCCTTGTATCTCAGCATGTGATGGTTAAATTACGGACACCTAATTGCTAACCCGGAGCTTTTCAGTCGTCCAGCTCTCTTACACCATCATTTGCACAGAACCGTTTTTGCGTCTTCTCAGGTTTATCAAGCCCAGATTTCACGAATAATAAAAGTGGTCCTTTGTTTTTTATCCACAAAGAGCCCCATCGTCAAAAGCGCCTATCAATACTCCCTACTAAACTAACTGCGTGAAAATGGAAGGTCTACTTTGGATTTAGAATAGCTACGTGCCCGAAGGAAGTGATAAATATTGTCTCAGGAGTCTTGCCACGGAAGTGTTTTTGTGGAAAAACACCATTGAACGAGATGTGTGTACTTTGTAACGGATTATCCCAGTGTCCAACGGCTGGATTAGTTTTATGCACCACAGCCTCTATTTTGTGTTGTAAAATGAAATTATTTGGATGCTAGTCGATAACCGCAGGATGTTTGTCAGATGAAGTCAGTGCGTATGAAACCGCAAGTTCGTCTGAACAGATGCATTTTGGATAAGGAAAGCTCGAGTAGACGAACTCTCGAACTAGTCTTAGCCTTGATGGAAAGACATTGAATGCTACTAAGCAGACTTACAGAAATCAGAGTTATTCTAAATAGTTCGACATCATATAGAGGTGAAAGATTATCTAACTCAGGGCCCTCGAATTACAGGAAATATTTTGCAGACTTCTGACAGATAAAATATACGTCATCTATCTAACATTTGGAATGAAAAGAGTAATCTTTTTATTGTAAGTCACTTATTAGCTATGCTACTCACTGGTCTTGAGTCAAGTAGCGACATGAATAGGTTAGTAAAATGTCTCTCCAACTATTACAGTCATTCTAATGTCTGTCAGTTCAGCTTAGTAACTCGCTTATCACAGTGTGATCGGCCTCAGATCAAATGTTTACATCGCTCCATCATATGTTGTATGACAATATGGTGTGCAACACAGGAATCTAGTGCAGAATTCATCTGCATTTTCAGCGGAACCACATATAACTTAAACCCTGAACAGCAAACCTTCAACAAGATACACGAAAACATTAGGTCTGAGATTGCTGCATCAGCGAAACCATGTATTCCCTTGAGTGCATTTTTGACATGTGTAATGCCTTTTGTTCAAATATTTAAGCCAAACGAACGCCCCCATTTAATCTATATTGTGGGCCCCTAGTAACCAGTATAAGCACGTCACTCGAGGAGCAAGTCAACAGGTGACCACTTAATGTAGTTTGTATGATTGAATGATGAGAGTCACTGTCCCCTCTCTAATTGCGAATTAATCGGCCGCTCGTAGCCAAGAGGTCGCCGGTTCAATACTCCCTGGAGTTTTGTGATGTACTCACTGTCGGTGACCTCTAGTAAGGATGAAACGGTTTTGCAGTGCTTGTCGATTTTTTAGAGTACACTGGTTTCAATTGTAGCACTACACTTCAGCTGAAGATTTCCATTTCCCTTCTGATAGTAACTAAAAAGTAAATGTCAGTTTGTTTCCTTGAAGCAAGAGGTGCTGTGCTCTGTTACCCTACTCCATATTGAAAGAAAAGAACTCTCAGGAAATAGTTGTGCAACTCAGTCCGTGATTTTTGTAATTTCACCGAGAGAATTTACCCCACTTAGCCTGTCATGGAATGCTGTCGGTCAGAATGTGACTGTAATTACCACGTATCCCATTTTCAGCAAACGCAATTCAGTCTATGTAGACCACCACGAGTTCGAGTTGCCAGGACCCTCGGAGAAAACAATGGAGCGTTTCCGTTTTCCACCTGAAATCACTCGTGTTTTCGGGTTAGTTGGTGGGCTTCGGAAGATGTCTCCAAAATTTAAAACACAGACAAATCAGCTTGCTGGATATGAATTAGTGATAGACCAGTTTTATGGAATTGAATGGCGTTTAAACGTGGATAGTGGATTTTCGTTGTTGGGCGGTATCCGACGTATTAATGTTGTCTTCAAACGCCCCGGATGCCCTGTGGAGGCTTTAAATAACGGAAGATACGCGGAGTTCTCCATCCAGTCGGACTGGTTTAACCGAACAACCCAGTACGTGGATCTCATAGCGAAAGCTCCGTGGGGTCATGAGTTGGAAGTTCGAGGTGAGCCATAAAATTGCCTTTCCTCAGACTGAGTGTCTGGCTGGAGATGGAACTAAAGGGTACTTGACATAACGGTTTGGTTTTTCAAATAAGTTTGCCACTGCACTGAACACTGGTTAAAGCCAGCACACACAAAATTTTGAAATACCATGCTAGGAATGACGTATCATATCAGCTATTTATGTAATCTTTCTACTCTTTGAAGAATCGTGTTCACAGTACAGTGTAAACAAGTTAGACATTATTCTTTCTTCATCATCGTCGATGTGATATCTGGGCTGCAGTGAACGTATACCGCATTTCTGGCCGCATGTGAACGCGGTAGCCTAAGTAGACACATGGGGTGCTGAAGTATCAAGGTACTCAGTGAAGCTCGACTTACCAGTTTGCGTCTTGTGCCCTTCTAATTTCGGGCTAAAGTATGGTGTAAATACAGACAGAAGACACATGTGCATGATATTGTATTTGTTCTATAAAAATTCATAAAAAATATAACCATCCAGATTTCCAGCCTGGATTCCATTCTGCGGTGAGAAGTCGAAAAGTCGGGCACATCTGATTCGGGTCTTTGTAAGACAAGTCACGTAGTTTGGTCAAAGCGTATCTCTGAGCAAATACTTAGAAATGACTAGCTAGCTTCTGGACAGATATGACGGCCAGCGGTCGTTGATGCAGACTGCTTGCTTGGAGACAAATTGGGTGCTACGTACAACCCATCGATATGGACAAACGGACAACTCACTGTCTACATATAGACTGAACGGCTAGTACACTAAACGGAAAAGATAACGCACATGATCAGACTGGGTAACTGACATCCGAATCACTTTAGTCCATCACTCCACTGCTCGGCTGTGTATAGCAGCAACGGAAAACCCAAAGTGGTGCTGTATGGACGCTCTTGACGCCGACGTTGACCCCTGGTAATAAAATCACAGTCAAACTTTCAAACCGTCAGTGCGGCCCATAAGTCAGCCTAAGCAATTTGACTTAGCACTGGGCACTACCAATGATTATGGAGGTACTGTGGTCATCCGTCAACCCTTTATGCTTGAGGATAACATGCCACTTTCTGCATTACGGCGGCAATTATTACATAAAGGCGTCAAAAACACAATGTCAGTGGGTACCTGGTAAACAGGCGGTATTTTATTAATCATGCTGTCACCTGTAAGTTGACTATTTTCGCAGTTACTCATCAAAGACTTCAACAACCCAATAACTGCTCACACAATTAGGTCCTCTACAACAAGTCTTTGTTTACGTAATCGCATTACGGGACTGTTGCCTGAATCTTTCATTTTCTGCTGAAGATGTATTACTCTTCTTCCTTTATGATGAGAGAAGGTACGAGGGTATCTGCATAGACGTACTAATCTCACGCTGAATTTAGCCATCTTCATCAAATCGAAGTACCATGCAAAAATTATTCCAGCTAGCATTTCTTGTACTTCGGGAAATGTTCGTATTTCTAACCGAATAAGCGGTAAAATGTACTTTTGACTAAACGACAACTCCCACACTCAATAGAGAAATCTAGTGGGACTTTTTCATCGGCCAAAAACGAGTAGGCACTTGCGGGTTGGCCATGTGGTCGGAAACAAGGACGGATGTAAATGCGGCGGCTTGATTAGCATAGAGTGGAGAGATTAACAACCGAGTCTCGAACTTCAAAAGTTAATTCCTTTGCTAGTAGGCGTTGGTGTGAACTACTTTCATGACGCCAGCATGAGAAATGCGGATCACTCAAAATTTTCGTCAACCCTAGTTCCTCCAGGGAACAACTGTTGATTAACGCTGCTAGGGCAGATGAATGACTTCCATTTCATGTCAGATGTGATTTACAATGCCTATGGCTTTGGTGTGAAACCATACAGGAATCCAGTTCAGGGGGCTAATGAAAGCATACACATGTTAACTGTCACGTGCGGTACCAATTGTTTACACACTGGTTTGTAGCAGCTGCCGCGGCGGAAAACAGATTTTCGGAAATGGCGAAGCTGGTGAACTATGATTGAAGTTCTCTTTAAAATTCAATAATGGAACAAAAACAATCTCGAAACAAAATGACTTCGCGTCGTCTAATTTTATCCCATCCTTTTAGTTGCACTCATTTCGACATATAGCCATGGATGTGAAAATAATCTTGATGAAATTCGCAACAATTCCTGTAATGTAGAGTTCCAAGCCGGGGAGTCGTCTATTTGAAACTATGTAGGGATTTATTGGACGCACACTGCTGACGATTGTCCTCTGGGATGAAGTAATTACACAGTGGTGATTACTAAAGCTTGAATTCACTCGACAGGTCGAAAAGTCACTAAAACCTTTCAGTTTATTGATAAGTAGTCCGCATTGAAATCGCAGTAAGGCGGACGCATGCGAATCAGCAACGCACGAATCAGAAAAGAGAACCCACAGTTTACCTTCTGAAATGCACGATTACCAGCATCACTAGTTTCTAGCATTTCAACATTACAGTCCAAATTCTTGGCGCTAAAGTGAAAAATACTTGGTTAAAAGGGTAAAAAGATATATAATAACGACTACTCAGCAATCACATTTTATAATAAGTGATCAGAACATTCGTGTGACGATAACACATGGAAGGCCTGAGGAAAAATTCCAGGTTGAGGACAGAATAATGGTCACAGTGAGATGACCTTGGAAAATTCAATCTATAGCGGGCGCAAAATAATCTGCGGCCATACGATCAATAATAACCCACTTATAGTACGGGAAATTCGTGTGAGTGTACTCTCCGGGTCCGGTCTGTGAAATTTCTAAATCACTTGCCTGGCGGATGGAAAATAAAGTACGGCCAAGTATACGATCTAGTGCAAACTGAGGTATATTTTCTCATTCAAATTTAGAATTAGAATGACATTCCATACTGCTTAGCTATCGATTAACGCAAAAGCATGCACTGGTTCGGAATTCCGGAGAGTTTAGGCGATAAGTGTATGCGCTTTTTCCACCGACGTGATTTGGGAATTGTCACCACTGGATGAACCAGAGAAGTTTGTTTTTGCCAGACTGTTGGAAACTATTTCGTTAAAACGATTATCAATTTTGACACGTAATATATTACTTGTCATTTTGGACTGGATTGTCGATCTTGGCTTCTTAACTTAGAATTGCAATACAACCCTCTTAGCCACCGAACTACAAGCTTCTGTGCAAAAGTCAATCGATATCGGGAGTTAGAATAACGCGCGTATATCCATTCCGTGGAGGACATGTCGGGAAAAGCAGTAACAATGAAATTCGCATTAGTTTTTCTCTAAAAGTGTAAAACCGGCACTTGGATTTCAAGTAGTTCGGTATGACAGTGGTCGCTTTGCTCACGATTGAGGTAGATAATGCAGTTGCAGTCCAAGCTCTAAAGCAAGTGTACTCAAGTGTGGATCTTCAGGGACAGCCGTTTATTTGAAGAAACATACAGAAACAGTCTAAATCCACTCCTAGGTAGAGATAATAATGATTCAAAATCAATTCACTCCAACGTTGACACGCAAGGACACCAACAAAACGCACATAATACGGCTTCGTTTAGCTGATGCTTCAGATATTATGGAAGCCTTCGTTCTCCTTTGATCTCGAGTGTCTACCTTTACCGCAGAACTACCCAAGTAATAATGGTGATCCCTAGTATAGTCGACAACTTGGAGTTGGGAAGATGTTCGGTGGCAAACAAACAGTTGATCCCAGAATTACTGATTTGCTATGATAGCGCATAGGAGCGTCTGTTCCGAAGATTTGCAATTTTCTATATCTAGCACTCAATGACCACAAAAAATGTTATCTATGGAGCATACCTGGATTTATTACCCCCAGTCATAAAAGTGTCAGCAATAACTATCTCAGTGTTAAACATTTTATGACAAGCAAGTTTCTATGTGCTGTAAAACTTTCATTGAAACAGTTTCACTAAGTGATTTACTATGATACTACGGCTGTCGCAGTCAAAAGTGAAACTGAATAGCGGGGGTGAAGGGGTGGAAACTGGACGTGACTCTTGTGTATATTCATGAGACCCATAATGCAATTATTGAAGTTTGGAATTAACCAAAAATTTATGGGTTCATGCAACAGCTAAATGTGATTTAAATAGGAAGGACCTTCTGTCCGATTGACCGGTTGCGTTTTTCCTTGGATGCTTCTGTCCTTTTTTTAAAAAGGTTTTTCATCCCACTGTCCATGTGAACGTCACTTCTTAGCTGTCATCTCATGTTAAAACTGCGCTCAATACGACACCACTCAAGTGTGCCTGTTCTAACAAGGCTATTCAAACTTGGAAACGGACTACTTTTAGACCAGCTAGGACACTCACTCTTATAGTCTCTTCCGAGCAATCCTAGACAACCAGCATGGTAGTGGACAATACACATGAAGAGAGGATCGACACAAACGGGAACTTCGTTCAGATCCATCACAGACGTTGCAGCAAAAATGAATCCACCTGTTGAAAAACCCGGCTTTGTGGGAACACGAGGAACCAACTCCTCGGCGAATATGCTATTTACCTCCAAATGAGCGGGTGTCCCATATTCAGGAGTAATTGATGCCTAGAAGGACTGTGCAAAATGTAGAAAGCGCAATATTTTCTAGAGATGTTTGCCCCTGTCCAATGCAAAGCGTCAGGTACTTCACTACGAAATGTCAGGGCATTTGTTCACTGGGCTCACTTCGTAATGATGTTCAAGAGATGTTTGACTGGCAGGAAATAAAGATCAGAACATGTTCTGATATGTGTTGACTTTCACAAAGTTTTGTGAATGGAGTCAAGATGGTATCACACCTCTCTAGATCGGATCAGTGTTACCAGCGTTACCAGGTGACGAGTAATCAATATGTTATCAAAAACCCTTTGAAGGAATAGGTATGGAGCCACCATCATTAATAAATGAGAATGAACAGATTAATGAAAGTTGTTTCCGAAAATTCCCATTTATAATAAGAACACAGATGGGTTGACGAACATGTTTTCGGCAAGGTCTTTTCAAGTCATACAATTGCAAAGGTTAAGAGAACGGTATTTAACATATTTGAATGAGTATGGTGTAAATGGACAGGGAATCGAGTGAGATGACATTGGCTACCTATCAAAGAACCATTAGTTCAGGTCGCCAATAGGGTGACTTGAGCTAGTCAGCTCGGGGGATGTTGTAGTTGTGTGTTCAGCACACGGTGCATGTGTGGGGGGAGGTGAGTTGGACCATGGTAAGTACAGCACACCAACAAAGCGTTTTTGCCGACAAAGGATCGGGTCGCGATGTCGTATGGCGATAGCTTCAACCACTGCAATTGTGCGCTGCTGTACTGATCTGGGTTCGTTAGCCGGCGCCTTGTAAACAACGCGGAAACTTTGGCTGGGTATCACGTTGTGTGCAGTGCCAGCTAAATGTTGTACTACAGAGCTGGTTATCGTCCTGGTTCCAGAAGCTAGCCAGGGTGGATTGTGTTCCTTCATTCTTTGGCTGAGTTGCCTAGTCGTGCGTCCGATGTATTCCGCTGCACAGCAGCAAGAGAATGAGTAAACTAACATATTTTGGGCGTGGACAGGCACTCTATCCTTGAGATTAAAGGGGGAATCCATTGTCTCTCAGGACGTTGGTGAGAGTTTGGAATTCTTGTTCCAGTGCATCCTCAGAGCATATTTTCTTCGCTCTGTTAGTTAGGCTGCGGATCAGGTTCCGTTTCTGCTTTAGTGGCACGAAGCTGCTAAAGTTGATGTATTGACCTGACCAAGTAGGTTTTCGGTACACCGATCGTTTCAGTGTAGCATCGTGACGTCGTTCAAGGCCAACATCTAGGAAATGGAAAAAGTTGTCGGTTTCTCCTTCCGAGGTGAATTGAATGGCAGTGTGGGCCTTATTGAACTCTTGTTGGAGTGATTCCAATTCGTCTTTTTGTTGTTAACAACGGCGAAGACGTCGTCAACATATCGGCAGTAATGCTGCATATTCTCAATGTTAGCCTTTAAGGGACCATTTTCAAGTTTACTCATGAAAATGTCGGCTAGCATTGGGCCCAGTGGTGAGCCCATGGCAACGCCGTCAATTTGACGGTAGAACATGCCATTGAACAGTAGTTGCACATACGACATCGCGACCCGATCCTTTGTCGGCAAAAACGCTTTGTTGGTGTGCTGTACTTACCATGGTCCAACTCACCTCCCCCCACACATGCACCGTGTGCTGAACACACAACTACAACATCCCCCGAGCTGACTAGCTCAAGTCACCCTATTGGCGACCTGAACTAATGGTTCTTTGATAGGTAGCCAATGTCATCTCGCTCGATTCCCTGTCCATTTACACCATACTCATTCAAATATGTTAGATACCGCTCTCCTAACCTTTGAAATTGCATGACCTGAAAAGACCTTGCCGAAAAGTTGTTTCCAATAAGGACAAAGATCAACTGCTAATCCAAAATTACCTCACGTTTTTAGGGAAATGAAGAGATTTGGCAATTTTATGAGCAGGTTTCTTCATGAAAACGAAATGCCATTTTTCGATTTTACGGAACGGTTGTGCTCGCCGTTCCTCTTTCTTTCTATCGAATAAAATCCGCAGCAAAATTCAGTGAAAAAGGGATTGTTCAGGCGACCGTAAACATCAACGAACAGCACTGTGACTTATATGGTGTCTACGAACAGACCCATCAACAAACCAAGCTGACAGCACATTTGTCACATCCACGAGGACGTCTGTTACTTGCGTTCCGAGGTAACTTTACGGGGAGCCATCAGCTGGTGGTGCGTGAAATAGAACAGATGAATACATTTCAGTTGACAAGTAAGTTTCATACCTCTGCAAAATCGTTCACATTTTTATGCTTAGCCTTACTGGCTGTTGAGTGGAAGATATCCTCACGTTCGGTACGATGGGGATTGTTCACTGAATGCAACTAAAATGTAGCTAGTGGAGTTGAAACCAAAAGGATTTGAATGAAGCGGTTCGGTGGAAACCCCGGGTTTTTGACTGCTCATCTGTCTTAAGGCTTCAGACGTTTAGGTAATACGACCTCTGAGAAATAGTTCCTAAAGTCTTCACAATCGCCGATCGTTCTCAAAAATATAAAGTGGATGCAATGTCACTGGAAAGGAATTTTCACTCAGGCTGTTCGGAAACGCGAAAATCTAAAGTGTGCAAGTGAATTTCAATAGTTTCAGCTGCCGCTGGATCCTGAAATCTCCACCAGATGCGCGGTATTCAATACATGATATTAGGGGCTGGATTTTGTTCGTGATCAGCTAGAGTCTTGGCTGCATGCAGTACACTGGCGCCTGAGATTGGTCCAGAAAAGACTAGTATCGCACAGAAAGTCTTTCCAACAAGCGCCCTTAAATACCCAGCACACTAATGACGGTGAATATACAGTAGCCACCTGTAAATCAACCGAAAAAGACAGGTCACCAATCTCAATAAATCAGAACTGGCATGGTGGAAATTCGGCATTGGAACTCGTGAACTACTTTACCAATTAAGCTCACTTCACGTAATCTGCACAGCAGTGAAAAAATCTCACAAGCCCTTTTTCTGATGAGCTGCCACCTGAAGAACCAGTTCGGATTTGGTTGCAGGATATAAACGGTTTGATCAAGCGATGGTAAGAATGCACACTGTTGCTCACCACTTGCACCAGCCAATCAGGGCCTAATAACATGCCGTTCATTTACAAACAAAATATCACGGTTTCGACTTTCCACAGAGGTTTGTGAAACGCAAATTATTGATTCCCAACAGAGATAAAACACCGGCGTCGTCTTCTTTTGGCTTGGAGGCACTCCAATTACTAGGTGATGTCTTAGTGATGTCTTAGTTTAAGCTCCTTAATAAGAGTCATCATCTGAAATTTTCGTGAAAACCTTCTTTGAAAACTGGTTTGGATGTTGCAGTGTAGCCCTAAGTACTTCCTGAACTGCCGAACACTCTCCAACACGAAGCCAATCGATCTAATTCACGACAACTCGCCAGAGGAAGATTAAACCACCTGCTCAGTATGTTGGTTAGTTACATTAGTACAAAAGAATATGCGACAAAGCACAGAATTGGCATGCTTAAACACCAAAAATTACCCAAACTAAATACTCAGGAACGTACCAAGGAGGAAAAAGCACACTGGCATGCACCGTAGAGTACATTACCATGTGTTCTCATTCTTAGCCGACAGACGGACAAGTTCCGTCTTTGATACGTTGAGTAGGAGCGCCAGAAGTGAAGTGACAATAAGCGTCACCTAAGGGAACTCAGGGCCAGCAGGTTGTAGTTTGACCGATGTCTTTAAAAGTGAAAAACCCACTTGGTGAGATGGACTTCACTAACTGAAATGTAGAGGACGGAAACAGATAAATCATATTTTTGCTATACATTTCCAATCACAATACTAAATTTCGTCAAAAACCTGTACAATATATCAGAAAAGTACATGTGATTTGTTCATGCTTGTGCCCCGGTCTACTTAGACGGCGTCGACAACTAGACAATTCTTCGTAAAAGTACTCCTGCGCAGTGTCCGTCAAATGAAAAAGCAGACGTCTGCATATGAACAACTAGGTATACCAAATTCAAGTTTCTTCGTGAATGCTACCAATCAGACAGAAGCGTTCCGCTTACAGCTGTAGATTTTCCAAGCAGTACACTGATATTCTGAACATATTTTTCTACATTATTGTTGCGAGCACTGGAATTCCGAAACAGGAGAAAAAATCAAAGCCAACGTCCAATGATTTCTTAAACCAGCCGTTCACATGAAAATCACTACCGACGAAAACCGGCCACATGAGTAAAATGTGATGATTTATAGACAACATGTTTAGAGAAAGCAACTCATTATCCACTATCCTCGTATTCCTTCGAAATAAAGATTCCGAGTTATAACACGTAAAGTGCGCATAAAAATAACGCAAACGTATATTGTCACTGCTCGCTTGATACCTAGTGCCTACATTCCAACTCTTGAACTTGCTCGTTTTTATTATGTTCACCTCTGTTTACCCTCTCTTCAAAGTGATTAAACGCTCGATACGGTCAAGACACACGCAATACCCCACTTTTCATCGCACGCATCACGAGACACGTCTATCACTGGGGCACGATCAGACCGTTCATTTGCAATTAGAGTGGAACGCTGGAGACAAAAACGGGTTGCTTCGTGAAGGAGTAGTTAAGTTAAGTAGTCATACTTTGATGGGTGCCGTAAAAATACGCGGTGACTTCTCTTGGACTGAAGGAGATCAACTGAGCACGCTCGACAATGCTGTTGAAGGCTACGGGCGTCAACTGCATCTGTGAGTCACACCAGTCAGTAGAAATTATACTTCCACATTCGCATTACTCTCGTTTGAACAGTCTTCCTTCTGTCCTGGCACAGTTATTCTCCTGATAGGAAGGACTGGAAATGATATTCGTTTTCGTTAGGAGGTAACAGCTGTTCATATCCTAGGCAGTGACGGCGTCTGAACTCCGAACTCCTTTAACATAGCACGGTACCACCGTTCTAATTCTGTTCCGGGTGACGTAGCACCTCACATTCATAATGTGTGTTGCACAACACTTGGTGTTATTTTACTGACAGAGGCTCCTTTCAGAACGGTTGAGTAATGCTCCAACCCTGGTTCATGGCTTATGTTAATTTATCCGATGGTATCTTGCAGATCAGTGGCATCAAGTTTTGTAGAAGGCAGCACAGCGACCAGTTCGTCAACTTCAATTTCACGTTTTCTCCTGTTGTCTAATATAACTCTTCTTATGTATTCTGACCGCAATTTTGTTAACCAACGGTCTGTTTCACAGGTTCCAGTCAAATGTAACTTCATTTGCATGATGCAGTGTAAACAAAACGGGCAGCATTTTCATCATATTGTGTTACATATCTGGAATACCTTATAGCTTACATGCTACAGATGACTATGAAAAAAGTGGGGAAGCCTAAATACACACATTACGTCCGGTTGCGTTGTTTACGCCTTGAATGAAGTCTGCATATGCTGAAGATATAACACATTCAAGTTGTAACACTCTAGAGGCTGTTGGCAAAGGCAGATTAATAGAAATATATGTTGGCACTCAGAGGAATCTGCGCTCTACACGATTGACTAGATCAACACTTTCTCAGTGAGATGAAAATTAACTGAGACTTAAATCTGTGAGTCACCTAAATGTGATTTTGCTGACTACGTAAGGGATAGGCTTGTACTGGTTGATTAAGGAATCTTGGATGTTATTCACTGTACATAGTCTGCTTCTAAACCTGTCTGTGGATATGAAGGCGATATCTTGAAGTAACCATCTATTTAGATTGACGACTGCCAATCGACCGCATAAATATCAAATCGCCGTACGCAAAGAATGTTCGTTGGCACTGATGCGTCCGTGAACAGCACATTTTGATCCACCTCTTCATACAATCGACCATCATCACTCAAGCGAATGGTAAATAGAAATCAAATGCCCTCGCGGGCACCAAGGAACCGATTCGACTCCAAATAGCTAATACGAGCGTGCAAATCTCCAAGGATGATAAATGGCCTGTTCAGCAGTTTAGATTTGATAGGCAGGCACCACAGGAGACAAATCTCCTATTTTTCCATTCAGAACGGTAAGTTGACGGCATCTCACGAGGATTAAGATGGTCACATTAGTGTCCATTTTCATGGGGCATATGGTGCACATTTGCTGGAAAATAAACCTACATTAAGGAGCTGATCTGCTCCTGGATTTTAGTTAAGTAAAATCATAAAAACAAACCGGGTTAATACGTTTGCTGATATGCAGCGTGGAGGCAACAAAAAACCGCACATGTTATTCAATAAATTCAGGGAAAGACACCGTAGATCCTTCATAGAAGAATGGGCTATCCGAAAAATTTGCTAAATTTATCTCCCTATTTCAATCTAAGATGAAAGATAGCGTTCAACTTACTCAGCTATTTCGGCAAGCCTCGAAGGTACCCTGAGTTTGAGGCAAGGCTTCATTCCGCCGTCCATACAGCTTTGCCTGCTTTAACTTTAAGTCTTTCTACTTCAACTTAGCTAGAGAGATTCGATATACTTTATTTTACGGGCACATACTGAATGAACAGGTTGGTGCGCTTCACTCGTTGAGTAAAATACTCTAAAGTAGTGGGGTGCGTTCAATAAATGGTCATATGGCCCTCTTTCAAGCTGTGCCACAGTTAGGGAACTAGATCTAAAGTAAATTATCTCGGTAGGAGTAATGTGCCATGTTGAGTACAGAGCGGATCATGCGTCCATAGGGCCTCAAGTGCTATCTCCACGCAGGGGACGGATTCAATAGGTTATCATCATCATCATCTTCATCATCATCATCATCATCATCATCATCATCATGGGCAGCGTGATATCAGTGTTCAACACCGATGCTTCGCTGATGTAGGGTTCAATAGTTAGCCGTAGTTGGGTCATACAACATTATGGGGTCGTGTAAAGGTTGCCGAAACAGCTGAAAACAACGAATCAGCAGCGGAGGCGATGTAAGAACGGCTATGAAAGAAACCCTCGGCATCAGGAAGGAATTTAAAGACGATAACCAAACTTCCAAAGAACAGTGTTCAGGATAAGATGTGAGCATGTGAATGTCGCCAGAATGAAAGAATGTTTCTCGGCAGATTTTAAAAATTTCCCGGAGTGAAGATGTTTCACAAATGTCTATAAGCGCTACAATCATACTAATGTCCGGAGGAAAGGGGACTCCGTTCGTCCTGCACAAAAGTAAAAATCGTGGCATGGATTCTGACGAATCGTTTCAGTGGTGATAATCTGGAAGTATGTATCAGTGAACACACTACGCACCGCAGTCGTGGATTTCACGGAAGCTTTTGACTTACTGTACTGAGAGAACTGATGGATCAATCACAGCAAGCTAGAATGCCTTGGAAACCTAACACAGTCATCAAATTTTATTGTCTCTGTGAGTTTGTCTATTAAGATAGAATTCAGTACAAGCATAAAACAAGGTTTCGCTCTGCCTCAATCTTGGTTCAGTCTGCATCTGACCAGCCTTTAAGCGACGGAGCACCATGATTCGGAGAACGACTTAAACACCTTGTGCCATCTACAGGGTTACCTCCTCCGCCGGTACCACCCCATGACCAAAACAGAACCGCATGAGTCAGATTCATGTGCTGTTTTGGGCAGATTGCACATTCGGAGGCGGAATCGCATCAGACAACACCATTATTTGGGTACGGCAACTTGGCTTGGTCTGGTTTGGTCTGGTTTCTAAACCACCAACCACTTACAAAACTACCCAAGTATCATGGCTGCAGACGATTTAGGTTCAAATCGAATCACCTGCCTAAACAGAACCAACTTGCATATTGCCAACTCATTCAACTTAAAGAATTGGGAAATGGTTACTGTATCTTCTTTGTGAGGTTCGACCATTTCTAGACCTGTTTCATCTTAGTATCTGCCCTCACTGTCATCCTTTGAGATGATAGTACCAGTAGTAACAAGACTACTAGTCTGTCTGTTGGTTATTCAGTCCCAACAAAACGGTGTGGTAGTAGACATCACATCATCACCATCAGTTATCATAAATTACCCAGGGAAGATAAGCTATCCGCTGAAAATTCGACGAACTAGTAAATAAGGCCAATGTCTCATTCCATTCTAGAATGACATAACTTCATTATCTACTCAGTCTAATGTGAACTGACCGAAACCCCTGGATATTTTGGAGCAAGTATGTATGTACAATGTGCGTCAGCTACAGAATTTGGTTGACCTAGATCCCAGATCATCATCAAACAACCCCTTGTCCCAGGACTAAAACATTTAGAAATATTAAACAATTTATAAAAGCATATTTACTTGTTTGGGAAATGAAAACCCTTTCAGTCTTCTCGTTGCATGTTGTAAACAATTAACCGCCAGGCTTATGCACCGTGTCCATCGCGGTTCTACTTATATGGTCCGCGTCAGTTTGGAAATCCCGTCAAAAGAAACGAGCAGTGAAGCAAGTGCTAACCGCTGGCTTATTATCGATTAGGGTACGACGCACTAAACTCTTTTTACGTTATCTTACTTAATCACTACATTCTGTATTTTAGGAAATCGCAGCTGACAAAACCAGGACAGGAATTGTGAGTAAATTTTTTTTAAAATTCCGACGGACGAATGTTTGAAGTTAATTTTGGTAAGGTGTGCTTTTTAAAATAGTTAAAAACGAAAAGATAAAAGGAGAGAAGTTGATGATTGATTGCGTTAGGACGTAGCAGAACATTCAATATACTCAAGCGCAAGATAGATCACAAAGTGAGATACAAGTGTCGCAAATTTGCATCCGGAGAGAGACTTTCACACAGAATTATGAAATATGATGTACGGCGTTTTTTATTTGTAACCTGTTGACTCAGTCTGGTTCACCTTTTGCCTGCTTTATTGGTTTTGTTCAACTTTTTAACCCAGTGAAGAAATCGCAGTGTACTGAAGCGATTTTTTGTTTCATCAGTACGTTATATTTTGCTAGCAACTCGACCAGTTTGAAGAAGTCAGTAAATATTTTTAAAAGTCTGCGGCACTCGTGGACGACCGGATAATTATTGTAGAAACGTAACTCGGTTGTTGCACAACGTTGCGGCAAGACAGACCTAAATATCAGAAATAAGGCGCGACTTCGAAACAAGAAAAAGACCTAAGAACATCTCCGAAGTGTCCCACTTTTATGTGTTTACATCCTCTCCATATGGACGTGGAAATTTCTCATGGTTGTTTATGTCACAACGCTCTCATAAGGTCTTGCGAATGGGGGTCGTTGGCACAAATTCGCCCTTGAGCTGCAGTACATGCAACCTTATGTGAAAACCACAAAACGGAGAAAGTGTAGTAGGCCGGGCAGTCGCGTTGTTTTTCTGCCCACACCGAACTCGGCTTTGGATAAGTGAAAGAGAACTTTTAAGCACTGAGCGAGCGTAGGGAATTTTGCCAGTCGACCAGGACAACATTCACCTAAAACATACTTGACTATCTGGTAAATAAAGGGTATGTGGCTTGGTGTCACACTGAGGGCAAACATCACTGGCTGGCACCAGTAAGAGAGACTGAACGAATTTCTTTTATGCACACTGTACACGCGAATGGGCGAACCAGGTTAACAATAGCACCATTAAACATTCCGCTTGGTTTGAACTGAGCTTTTGACTACCTGCTGACGGCCCATGAATTTCGCAATACCCCAAAACTGCAACCAAAAAGTTGCCCAGTGGGTTTCAAGCGTGTCACTCTACATGACTGGGAAGTCCTGGCTGGCGGGTCAATCGATCTTC